GTGGTTAACGTTTACTTAACAATTCTTTTGAACATCTACTATGTTACAGAATTTTGCTGGAGAACACAGTTCCTGCCCTGTGACTAGTAACAGGAAAAAAGGGAAAATTTAACAATGCTACAAGCTTTAAACAATAATATAACCCTGATGTTTATGTTTAGATGATGGAGTAAGTAAATCATGTTATACCTACCAAGGTAACATTAAAAAGGAGAATCCCTTTTTGTACTGATAAGGATATCCAAAATAAATCAGTACCAAAAAAAATGAGGTATAACATAGTATGCGTAGCATCTGACCATCTGGGAAAAATTATGTAGCATGAATGTTGGCTTGAATATGCGTAGATTATCTCTGGAAACATACACAAGAAACTGTTAATTAGAAGTTGCCTCTGGGCAGGAGAACTTGGCTGAGGACAGTGCAGGGAAAAAGAATTTTCCCCTTTTTTACCTTTAGAATTATATATCACATGAGTATACGACCTACACACATATGCATAAATTAATACATGAAAAGGCACGAGAGAGAAATTCAGAGAATGTAAGGATTACTCTGCGCTAAAATCTTTAAAAACCCCATGAAGCAAGTAAAAACAAGAATCATTTGAATGGGTTAAGCAGAAATAAAGACGACAGAGGTGGGGTCACCCCATTCTGGAAGGATAGGAAGCAGGATTTTGCACGAGCAACCATCACCCAAATCTTCTAGTCACAGTTAGAATCATCCTGAAAACAAGGAACTAAAATTTAAAAGTAAAATTGTGATCAGTTTGTAGAGGATCTTGAATACTCAGAAAATAACAGCCAGTATCCAAAGTATCTGAACTGGAAAGTGATAATTAAAAAATATAAATGTGGCAGCTTGCCACATTCAAAGTATTGTGAAGACAAGTATTGGTTCTCTCCTTACGCCCTGCCCTGGATTTCCTGAGGTGTGACTTCAGCAGAGGTAATGGAAGACATGATGGATGGAGACTGAATGAGGAATTGGTCCCTAATTAGATGTGAAGAGAAAAACAATAATAATCAAAGATGATCTGGAGCTGATTTCCAAGTAGCGATGAGTCAATAAGCAACCATAAATTCAATTGCAAATGGAAGAATACTGGGATTAGAATTACAAAGTTGATGTTTTAGTGTCCTAGGGCTGCTGTAGCAAGTTACCATGACTAGGTGGCTTGAAACAACAGAAACTTATTCTTCCATAGTCCTGAAGTCTAAAATCAAGGTGTTGGCAGGGCCATGCCCCTTTCTAAAGGCATTAGAGAAGAATCTTTCCTTGCCTTTTCCAGCTTCTGTTGGCTCCTGGCATTCTTTGGTTGTGGCAGCATGATGTCAGTCTCTGCCTCCATCACCACATGACCTTCTCCTCTGTGTCTCCATGCCTGTATGTCTCCTTTCCTTATAAGGACACCAGTCATTGGGCTTGGGACCAATATAAATCTAGGATGTAACTTTATTACATCTGCAAAAACTCTGTTGCTAAATATGGTCACATTCACAGGTACTGGGGGTTAGGACTTGAACTATCTTTTGGGGGGACACTATTCAAACCACTACTGTTGAGAGCCAAGGTTCATGAACTTCACAAAGAATTGATATCTTCTCTGAAAATGTGCAGTAAATATAGGATAAAACCATGGATTCAGGTACCTTCAAGTTTAGAAAATAGGTAAAGAAAATGATGGCAAGAAAAAAAAGAGGAGTGAAATATAAGCATATCAAGACTAAAAAAGATAGAAACATCAAGACCAAGGGGTGATTAACCACATCAAATATGGCCAAGAACTTAAGGAAATAAGTGAGGAGATGCCTACAAAGGCATGAATTAATGCGTGTAGGACAGTATGTGCATTCACACGCTCACACACACACTGACAAACAGAACTGCAGCTTAATCACTAAGAATTTTTGTAATGAATAAATAAATAATGGGTCTTTTGCTTCTCCAGGGAAAAACAAATAATTCTGAGTCCTACTGAACAATACATCAAAGAACTATCCAGATGTCCACATCAAAAGAAAAAATAATTAGAAAATTGTATAAAGATGGGTAGTTTGCCAAAGGCAACATACCAAAAAAAAAAAAAAAAGATTACTTAACATGGGGGCACCAACTGGTCACAGAGCAGAGGGTGAGAATCAAAAGAAATAGCTTTCCATGAGGTCAGTGGTAGCACAGCTCAGAATTTTAAGAAGCAAACGATTAGAAAGACAACATAGACCTCTTGGGGATCCAAGCACAAAGCAAGTGTCCTAGAATAGACTGGATGAGGACAGCTGGAATAAAGATTCCTGAGCAGGAGCTAAGATTTAATTCCATATAAAGAAAAAGAGAGATTTTGGTAGCTACTATGAATATAATAATTCATACTCTTATGATGCAGTTTTATGGTTTTTAAAAATATAAAATAATCTTGAAAATACTTTTTACTATAAGGAAGTTTAAAGGGGCTACAAGCACACAATGAAGTCTTTGGGACCCTGACTTGGCCCTGCTTACTTCCCTCAGTTTCGGCCTCTATTTCTTGCTCATGCCTGGGCATACCATAGTCTTCACATTCCTGCATCTCTGGACAGAGTTCCTTTGCCTGATTAAAGCACTCCCACATGTATTTTAAGTATGAACTCAAGAATCGTTTCTCCTGTGAAGCTTCACCCAACTACCAAGCACTTACCCTGGAAAACTTTGTCAGTAAATGATTCTATCTTTTTGTACCTTCCCAATTTGTAAAGTGAGATTTTTTTTTTCCTTTTTGTCTTTATTCGTGTCCAGCAACGGATCACAACCCTCAGTGTCGCGCCCGTACCAGACCGGGACCGGCAACGGGATCGCAACCCTCAGTGTTGCACCCGCACCTCGCTCAGCCAGTGAGCGGGAACCAGTCTGTATGTGGGATCCGAACCCTCGGCGGGAGCGCCGCCGCGCTCCCAAGCGGCGCACTGTAGCAGTGCGCCACAGGGCCAGCCCTAAAGTGAGATTTTATACCACAAATAAATACACCTCCTGATCTGTAAGGTGAGATCTTATACCACAAACATTAGAATAGAAAAGAAAATCTTAATAGAAATGAGACTAGATAGCTTTATAGTTTTCCAAGTAACTGCTGAGGTTAAGAATTTTTAAAAAGTTCATTTCTATCTATCCAAGTTGCTGCTTAGTTTCTAAAGACTCATATGATAGTTTATAAGCTACATTTTAAAACTATGATTAAATTTTTCATTAAGTTAGGAAGCATGGAAATGTATATTAGTTGCTTGGGAAGAGTTAATTTACTTGAGCATTGAATTTACTAAGTGTTATGATTTGAATGTTTGTCCCCTCTGAGCCTCATGTTGAGACTTAATCCCCAATGTGGCAGTATTGAGAGATGAGGCCTTTAAAGAGGTGGTTGGGTTACGAGGGCTCTGCCCTCATGAATGGATTGATCCATTCATGGATTAATGAATTAATGGGTTAAGGGGTAATCATGGGAATGAGACTGGTGGCTTTCTAAGAAGAGGAAGAGATACCTGAGCTAGCACACTCAGAACCCTTGCCATGTGATGCCCTGCTCCGCTTTTGAGCTGTACAGAAAGTTCCCACCACCAAGGAGGCCCTCGCCAGATGTGTCCCCTTAACTTTGGGTTTCCCAGTCTCCAGATCTGTAAGAAATAAATTTTATTCCTTTGTAAATTACCCAGATTCAGGTACTCTGCTATAAGCAATAGAAAACTGACCAAGTTTACAAGAGGGAAATAAAATCCTTCAACTAGATACAAGAAAACATATCAGTGTCTCAAATGTCTCAAAATAAAATTTGCTTTCAAAGCTATTGATATCATACTGACTACAAGCAACAAAATATATGGTCTCATGTTCAATCACATTTACCTAAAAATTCATTTATATTCCACATGAATAAAGGAATATATCGATTTAGACATGAAAAGTAGTTTACAAATAGATCTCCACAAAATGGCCTACACAGAGAAAATCTGTGATTAAAAATCCGGGATTAAAGCGGAGTAATAGTAAGAAATTTTGAGGAAAAAGTATACCTAGAACAGTGCTTTGAAAATGGGAGTAAACAAAGGTGGCTGCAATATACTCTATATAATTTTTTTTTTTTTTTTTACTATAGAGTATCTATGTACCAGGTAGACACCAGGATTTCCCCTGGTGCTGTGGACTAATTGAACTGTGTCCCCCAAAGTTCATATAGTAGAAGCTTAATCACCATTGTTGAGGGTGGAAAGTATTATGGCAACTGAAAGGTGGGGCCTTGAAAAGGTGATCAGATTCTGAAGACCAGGCTGTAGTGAATGGATTAGTAATAGTGGTCATAGGCATGGTTCTGAGGGCTTTAAAAGGAGAGCACATGAAAGTCTCTCTCTCTGCTCTGCCGTTTTCTGCCATGTGCAATCCCTGCATTGCTGTAAAGCCACCAAAGAAGAACCTCACCAGATGTGGTCCCTAGACTTTGGACTTCCCAGTCTCAAAAACTGTAAGCAATAAATTTCATTTTCTTACAGGTCACCCAGTTCCAAGTATTTTATTATAAGCAACAGAAATGGACTGATACACCTGGAGATTCTCAGAGTCAAGTCAATAAGAGACATGTAATTAGAAACCCATGAACACAAAGACTATGTTGCTGTTTGGGGAAAAAAAAAAAATTCAGAAAGAAGTATTTCCATTCGTAATAAATGCATCAAGCTAGAGCCACTCGTTGAACCTTAGTAAACCAGGATTTTAGACTTATGGATCATTTATTTGCTTGAATATGAATGGTACTTAAAATTGACATTTATTTGTTACTACACTGCAAAACTATACATTTATAGAGAATCTCTTCCCAGTACCAATCCTATAAGTGACTAGCTATTCACCTTATTACATGTTAACTATTACTAACCTTCTTAGTAGTCTATGTGGAAACAGACAAGTTAGGCCAGAGGAAAAATAGATGGGCCCCTGCTTCCTCCTACAAAACCAAACAAAACCAAACTACGAACCTTGGCTGTTTCATCCACACTCATGGATTTCATTACACAGGAAGCTGGCCTCTCCTGGATGAGAGCGAGGTCCTGAGGAGCACTCTGAGAAGCCGGCATCGGAGGCAACGGAGCCCGCCTCTTCTTGGGTGCATCCGACGGCAAGGTGTTTGAAACATACGGTTTGGAAATGGTATTCGACCGCATGAAAGTTGGGCGGTGCTTGTTTATTAGAGGGGTTGCAGGGGCACTTACAGTCTGACAAAAAATGAAAAGGTAATTTTGAGATAAAAAGCAATGGTTGTATATACTTTTTTTAAAAAAGTAAGGAATCATAAAATGCTGCATAAGACAATACTTACTTGCTCCCGCTTTTTCTTACTGCGTTGGAAAAAGCTGAAAAACCCTTTGTTTTCTTTCTCCTTCATAATGTCTAGGTTTTGTGATATTTGGCAGGACTCTAAAATAGAAGAAAAGCATCGTACTTTTGTACATGGGGTTGAATGTTCACCTCCAAGTTTTCCTTCCTTTACTTTCCTTTCAAAAACTTATCTAATGATGAAAGCTACTAATTATAGTCTACTATGAACGAGGCACTCTGCTAGGTACCTTATATCTTACTAAATCCTCCCATCGACAAGCAAATATTGTTCCTATTTCACAGCAGAGAAACTGAAGCTTAAAGAAAGTATGATACATATTCAGGGCCAACAGTCAGGATATGATAGAGCTAGGACATAAACTTGATTCTTTGTGACTCAGAGTCAGTGTTCTATAGATAATTACCAACATTTCAGAAGTAAAAAAGGACACTTCAAATTAAATGAAATGTAAGTTGCTACTACAACTTTATCCCTTGGCTTATTTTGATAATAATTTTGTGTCAGAGCTAAACTACCATGAAATATTTTATTCTCTAAAACATGAGTTATAATTACTTCATACTTGTTAAATGTTTCATAAATGTCATTTCTTAAATCTAGTGATTCCCAGTTGGGGTCAATCCCCCCCCCCCAAAAAAAAATTTGACAATGTCTGGGGACAATTTTGGTTGTCACAACTGGGGATGGGGTTGGGAGAATGTGCTACAAGTAGAGGCCAGTGATGATGCTGAACATAGTACAACACACAAGACAGCCCCCAACAACACAGAATTATCTGGTCCCAAATGCTGACAGTGACAAAACTGAGAAACCCCATTTTAATCAGAATGGCAAATGTTAAACCTCAGGGCTGCATATGTATATTTTTAAAAATTTTCCAAAAGGTATTTCCTTGTATCAATCGAAAGTACCTACAAACAATGACAAATTCAGTAGTGCTGAGCCACCCTCTCAAAGACTGTCTCTAAATACCATTTCCCACTATGCTTGAGACCGGCTGATTCTTTGTTGGTGTCAATGAATGCAGAAGATGAGCTTAGAACTCCTGGTCATACCAGGAAGAAAGCTATCAAAGTCTAATAGGATTAAAAGTTCTCAGGAACCAACTTAAAATGATATTTACCAACAAAAATCAGGACAATTTGGGCATCATAAGAATAACTCAATAAATTAAAACATATCATGTGTTTAATTCTATGCATTTGTAATGATGCTAAAAAAAAAAACAACACATCCTGGGCCAGCCCCGTGGCTCACTTGGGTGAGTGCGGAGCTGGTAGCTCTGAGGCCATGGGTTCGTATCCTATATAGGGATGGCCGGTGCACTCACTGGCTGAGCATGGTGTGGATCACACCGTACCGAGGGTTGCGATCCACTTACCAGTCAAGAAAAAAAAAAAACAAAAAAACCCCCACATCCTCATTGGTCATCTTTGTGTAATGGGGAAAAAAAAATCACACTTTTATTCTGCTTTTTCTGACTGAATTCTACCCTGTCAAATAACTGACATGGGGAAGTTTGCTTTTTCAGAAATATCCCAGCTAATATTTAAAAGAATGTTTGCAATAGACTTGCCATTTTTCAATTACTAATTAACTAAAATGTAGGCAACAATCACTGATGGCTAACATCAGAAAAAACTTGTCATTATATGTCTGCTAATGGAATTACACAATACTGTCTATGAAGTATTCTTGCCAACAACATCTCGCCATAATCTGATCCAGTCTCTAGATTTAACAATCAAGTTACAGGAAATAGAGGGGGAAAGAAACATGTTAAAGGACACCACAGGATGCAAATCAGCAAAATTCTCAATGTGGGAAACTTCATAAGACAAATGACCCAGTTTCAACAAATGAATTAAAAAAAAAAGGAAAAGAAAAGAATGATAAGGAGTGTGGAATCTGTGAATTTCAAAAATATTTCTTCTACAAAGAAACATTGATTTTATGACAAATCACAACTTAGGGGTAAATGTACATTCTTAAATGCTTTTCTTTAAAATAAATGTTTAAAAAACTAAATTATGACAAAGTAGGAGCTACTCTAGGAGAGCAAAGATAGTTAACATGAATAAATATATTAATGCAATATGCCTTAATAATATATTAAAGAAAAGCTGTATTTCAGAAATTAAAATTCTTAAATCTGATGATTTAAATATTAAATAAGCAGCATGCATTCTGCACAATGAGCTTGACAATGCTAACAACTAATAATGATGAACATGTGGATAGGACTTTATGGTTAAAGATTTTTATTTCTTAGAACAACCCTGTGAGGAAGGTGTCATAAGTTATTGTTCTGAGCCCTTTTTCTCATTTGGAGGATTCTAGCATTTACCCTGCTGAATGTAAAAAATTGAAGCAGTGATATCATCCCATTTCATATCTGAGGAACTAGGTGACCAGAGAGTTTGAAAAACTTGCCCAAAGACACATAGGCATTAAATGGTAGAACTGAAACTAGCATCCATTTAAAGATAACTTATAATACCTATAGTTTTTTTTTATGCCACTATTTCATTCTAAGATGGATTTCCCACTAATTGAATGTACCTATACAATTAAGTTTAGTTAGAACAGCAGATGAAAAATTCATATGGTAGTACAGTACAATAAATATATAACCAGAGTATTTCATATGGTTATTTTTGGTAAAGCCATTTCCACACTAGTTAACCCCCCCAAACTAATTAACCCCTAAGTCTTTACTTAAAGCTCTACGAAAGGACCACTGAAAGTAAGAGTTACACACAAAGACAAGCAAGGGCTTGAGCTTACTTATTACTTAGAAAAGCAACTCAAACACTGTGGTTTCCCGTTTCTAGAAGAGAGGCTGAAAGTAACTGTTATGTAAAGTCTGAAGCCTTCTGATGACAGACAAAATAAGTAGGTGAGGGCATTTACAGCATTTGGATTGACCTTGTAGATTCTGACACTGTAAAAGGACTTTTCTTAATTTTACTATTCTAATCCCTTAGGGTTCTGTTCACAACATTTAATATTCTGAATAAACCACGTACTTGTGTGGCTGGAATGGATATCAGAAATCAATGCATTCAACACCCTCAAAACAAGGCCAAAAAGATTATGAAATTTGCTTAGGGTTATGTACATAGAGAGTGGCAAAGTTAAGAGCAAAAGCCAAGTATAAGTAACAGAATATTCTCGCTGGAAAAAACCACAGAGACCACTTTTCCTTGTCTCTTTATTATTGCTATGGAAGTGGACGGTAAGATCCACATGGATAAAGTTATTTCCCCTATCAGCTTGCCAAGTTAGCCTGACAGTTAATGTGCGGTCAGTATTAGAATGTCTATCTTTTGATTCTTAGCCAGTATACACTTTAAGATCATAAGAATTTTCAACTCATTTGATCAGGCTAGGCTTTATGATAGCCACCAATGATAAATAATCACACTATTACTTATGTGGGCCTAATTCCTGGAGCTGAAAGGATCAGTGTGCTTTGGGAAAATTGGAAATGGTAAAGAAAGAAGATTCCAATAACACAGAATGTGTACAGCTTCTTAAGGCTTTTTTTTTAGTAGGGTGGTAATTATTACAATAATCAATTATTTGGATCTATCTTTTTATTTTTTTAATGGGGGAGAAAAAGACTTCTGGATTTTATTATTATTGAAAAATTTTTAATAAAGTTTTTCTCTATAAAACTAATACATGTACATTATAAAATTCTGTAATATAAAGAAAAGAAATATGAAAAAAGTCACCCATAGCCCCACCAACCAAAGGTAACCACTATTAAAAGTTTTACGTATTTCCTTTCAAAATTCTATAGACTTTTTAAATATTGTATTAAACACATTATATGCTTTAAAAGCTAATTTCCCCTTTAGCATAAGCATTTTCCATGTTATTATAAAATATTCACAAACAATTTAATGTCTTCAATATTTCATATAATGAATATAACATTATTATTCTAAATAATTGTTCAAAGGAAATAATCTGAAATCCTTCCATGATATTACCAAACTATTAGCATGTGTACTCAATAAAGATCCTAGCAAAATCACTTCTTCTATGAGACCAATGGATGTGTTTTCTCACATACTTAAAATTAACCCAATTTTTAAACATTTATTGAAATGAAATTATTATAATAAAATTCAGAAATTAAGGGGGGAAACCTATAAATCATTTTGTAGAAAATAAAAACCAAAGATTTTCTAAGTTACAATCTCTCACAGAGTGTACACATTAGTAATGTTAGGAAGACAGGTAAAATTAGAAGCTTATTTTCAATTTACCCAATTTCATATTATAATTTGTTTCTACTGATTCATATGTCTTACCTTGTAAAGATGACTTATTGGAGGCAGTGACAGAAGTGGCTACAGAAGGAGGGGGTATAAAAGAGGGTAAATTGACTGCAAAGATGATGTTTGTTCAAGTATTAAACATCACTGCGTTGAAATAGTAGTCTATGGATTACCTAAAGCCACAACCTTAGGATATAATTTGAAGTTCTCTAATGCAGAATATGAAAGTAATTGTCTCCCTCACTAAACCCATTTCTCCTAGTAAAACAGATTCATGTTGAATGGATAAGCTTGCATTTATCTATTAGACATTATACAAACCAACATTATTTAAGATCTCCAAATTTCAATACATTACATTATTTCTATATTAAAACTACAAGCTATTTCAAAAATTTTGGAATTAGACTGATTCATTTTATAAGCCAATTTACTATGGGGGCTGACTTTAGGGAAAAATTTGGCAAGAAGCTTCCAAACTTGAATGACAATTGAGATGCAGACAAAACCACTGAGTCTGTAATAATTCATACTTGATTACAAAAATGGATTTACATGTAAATTTTTGTTTTCTGTTTAAATCTCAAAGCCACAAAGAATTAAGTTAAATTTTGCCAAAAAAAAATTTATAAGTAGATAGAAAAATATAAAATGTGGATAGCTAAAAAGATAAGTTTTCATTGCAATTTCAAGAACTGAAATCAAGTTAAAATTTATATTTGACTTGATTTATATTTATTTACATTTAGTTTTCTCTTCTTATTCCTAATTATATGTATTTACTTCTATCTATATGACCCATTAACTTGACATTATGAACTTGAGAACACCTATAAACACAATACACATATACATATATATACATCCCATTAAACGAATAAAACAAAAGTCTTACCTCTGCTGATATCCATGGCATATAATTCTCTTAGTCCCAGATCATTAAGAGATTTTGTCAAGTCGAGAGGCTCCTGAGATTGATAATCTTTCAACAACAGTGTATGTAATGGATCAAACTCACATTTGCTGCATATAATAGGGGCAAGTTCTTGAAGCGAAGCATATGGACTAACCCTCACTATGGTCTTCTGTGTTTTCTTAAAATTGATCACTACTCTCACAGTTTTCTGAAACACAGATTAATTCCATAGTTGTACCATAATTTACTTAATGAAACAACTTTCTACAATAATGCCTAAAATAACGAGATAATCTACCATTATGCATTCATACAATAAACAGTACTTTCCTATTTTGCTGTAAAATTCTTTTTAATTGTTACTTCCTAAATCCAAAGCAAATTCTTAGAAACAAACATTAGTTTGATTATTAAATAATCTCGTTTAAATTAATAACATTTATATAGTAAAATAAGCATATTTAAATCAAATAAGGAATAAAAAAACCTCATATCTAATAGTACAGATTTTTTTACTTTGTTCCTTAAAATATTTACTTTAAAATTAGCAAATATAAATAATAATAGAGAATTATAAATGTTTTATCGTATCCTTTGTTTGAAGGATGTTTATCTTTCGAATAGTTTGTCAGTTGCCTCAATGAAAAAGGGGTATTTTGGTTAAATCACTAAAATTTTGGGGTTTTTCTCTATTCGAAACATGATAAATGAGATAAACCATATAGAGGTTAGCATAGCGTCTGGCACACAGGCAATTTCAATAAATGAACACTTATTCTAATCTAACACGATTAGATTTTGTTACTATTACTGCTTTTGGCTAATTTTATTAGTAAAGAATATTAAAACCTTCCTTAGTCAGATATCTAGTAGTAATAATTCAAAATTATTGGGAAGATATTAAACATCTCATCATTTTGATATAATTGAATTAAATTCTGTATAAAAATGCAAATTAGCAGATGTGGCATATTAAGTGAAACCTACAGTCTGTAGATCCTCAAAGACATCTATTCATAAAACTAATTCATTTAAATAAAATTCATTTATTCACAATCCCATGCTATAACATAAATAAAATTATTTCCATCTAAAATAATAGCATGGATATACAATAAACACATACCTAGACATAAAGTAGCCCAACATTCTAATTACTATTTAATATTCAAACACATTGTAGAGAAAAAGAATGTTTTAATATTTTTATAAAACTATCAACTTTTTTGTAAAACCTTCTGAGACTATATGTTCTCAAGCCATATATAAACAAACTATCAAAACAATGATTTTTACAGATACAGAACTGATATTAGAATCACTGTGGTTAAAAACTTTGTTTAAAATTCACACATTAAAGAAGACTGAGTCATTGTGCAGCACAAATGGTAATTTAGATGTTAGTAAATTATAACTGCTGTTTACCAAGTACACAGAAAACAAATTATTTTAATAAATTATATAAATTTACATTAAAAACTTCTAAAACCTTCCTTTAAATATAAAATAGTAGGAAAGCCAGTTAGTTCAGCTGGTTACAGCATGGTGTTGTAACACCAAGGTCAATAGTTCAGTTTCCCATACCTGCCAGCCGCCAAAAAAAATCAAAATAAATAAATATAAAATATTTTTTTAAAGAGTAGCTTAAAATACAGATTATTCATGATTGTAAGATACTGATACAGTCAGGTTGATCACGTTAGAGCATTTAAAAATCTAAAGTATTCCAATTCTAGTTAATCCAATAATTAATAACGAACTGAATCCTAAACAAAGTGGCCTAAGAAAACTGACAGCTATGTTCACATCAAATTTCACCAGAAAGTCAGTTTTTTATTTCACTTATAATGATCTGCAGATAACGACTGAAAAATTAACTAATATATTAACCATAAGACATAAAAATCTCTGGTAGAATTCTTACCTCTGGTATTATAGGTGTCGGTTTTTTCTTATCCAAAGTTTTTGGCTTTAAAATTACCTTTTCGACCTCCAACATTCCAATTGGTGTGTTTGGCTTGAATTTAACATGGTTCATTTCAGCTGACAGCAAATCAATTGTGTAACTTGATGGATTTAAGTGATACTGTGCACAGAGGAATATCAGCAAGTCCATCATAGGTTTACTGTAAAACAAGAGTAATGCTGATCGTAAAGGTCCATAAGACAATTTCATTCTCTGTTAAAATTACTGTTTTAAGGACTTTTTAGGATGCTCTTGTCTTCAGTAGCTAAAACAAGTCTACAAAATAGTATTTGTGAAAGCAACTTAAAAATCTAACTGCAAGATATTTAAGCAGACAAAACTGTGTTAAAAAGTCCTCAGTAGTATTCAAGAGCACTTAGTCCTAGTGTTGGTTCAACAATTACCTATTTATTTGCCAAATTGTTTTCACGTTATACATTTCCAAAGGAGAAGTCCTTTCCTTACCCAGGAGCAGTCATTTAGTTTAGCAGACACTCCTTCAGAACATTATTTGTTTCAAGTCTTCAGCTTATGAACTGGTTACATTTCAAAATTCTCATAAGAATGAAATATGTGGAACAACCATCACCACCTTTTTGGCTTTAGAAAGCAGATAGTGAGTATCTACATGAGGAAGCCCACAAAATCCTGAACAGCATAATACAGAGTTCTTAAATCATTCAAAGAATATTTATTTAATATTTTCTAGGCACTGGAGTCATAGTGCAACTGTTATGGTGTATCTGTTCTCATAGATCTAATATTCTACTAGAGGGCCGGCCCGTGGCTCACTCGGTAGAGTGCGGTGCTGATAACACCAAGGCCACGGGTTCGGACCCCATATGGGGATGGCCGGTTTGCTCACTGGCTGAGCGTGGTGCTGACAACACCAAGTCAAGGGTTAAGATCCCCTTACCGGTCATCTTTTAAAAAAAAAAAAAATAATAATAATAATATTCTACTAGATAAACTAGACCAAGTGTCAGCAGACTACAGTCAAAGTGGGCCCATTGGTTTTTTTTTTGTTTTTTGTTTTGTAAATAAATTTTTACTGGAACATAGTCATGCCCATTTGTTTACATAATGTCTCAGGCTGCTTTTGTGTTACAATGGCAGACTGGAGTAGATATGACAGAGACTGTATGCCCACAAAGCCTAATATTTTTACTATCTGGCCATCAACAGACAAAATTTATAAACCCTTGTTCTAGACAACAAAAAAGTAACCAAGTAAATGCATGAGATAATTTCAAATGGTGGTTGAATGTTAAATACTAATAGTAACACAGGACCTATTTCTATAGGAACTCGCACACCCAACCTGAGATTCAGGGACATGAATTCCACTGTTTGCTTCCCCTTCCAGACTCCAACTGTTGACACAGGCTTATGTTTTCACTGACACCATCAACAGAACAATGTAATCTCTGAGTCTTTCTTCATTGTCAGCCCTTAAAGCAAGAACACTAAAAAACCTTCTGTATCACATGCCTTCCTCAAATGTCTGGTGTTCCTAAGCTATCAGTTCACACTTAATAAGGCACTAAAACACTATGCGAAAGAAGGTGTCAGGTTGTGGACTTCACTTTAGGGTAATCAGGCCAGCCATTTCTTTTCCCACTGGGAAATGTCAGCAAAAAATGATTCTCCCATTTCTTGACTATAGATATGAACCTGGCTATTGGCTTTCAGGAAGTTCCAAGAAAATGAGGCTTGGAATCTCACCATTATGCCATTCTTTACTTTAGTACATCTGTTTTCATATGACACCTCACTCCCACTCTCCTTAGTGGATTTCCCAAGCAGTCTCCTGCAGGGGTGGGGAAGGCTTAGTTGTCTGACATTGTGTGCTCCTGGAACTCAAACAATGCTTTATAAAGATTTTCAAGCCATCCCGTGTTTGGCTCCCTATCCCACCCTCGCCTTCTGTGGTTGTTGCCCATTTCTAGGCCATTCTAATCTGTGTGGGATAAGGAGGTATGTTTCTTAATGGTACCTCTTCTCCCTTCTCCTTCCCCACATGCAAGTAGCACTCCATTATCCATATATCAAGAAAAATAAATAAATCAAAGTCTAAGTCTTTTCAAAGAAAAGTTTTCTGGAATATGTTTCAGTCCTGTGTCTTTATTAGATGCTTGCTCAAAAATGTTTAAGAGTTTTATGTCCTTCTCTTGAGCTACAGACTATGCCCATACATAAATTTGCCTATAATTGCCCCCATTTTGGCCTTGATAGTACATCTAGTACATTTTAAATTTCATCCAGAGAGCAACCAGTATAATGGTCTTATGGAAGTTTATTTTTTGGTAATACAGGTTGAGTATCTGAAATGCTTGGGACCAGAAGTGTTTTGGATTTTTTCGGATTTTGGAACGTGTGCAGAATACATACCACTTGAGCATCCCCAGTTCAAAAATCGCAGATCTGAAGCGCTCCAATGGGCATTCCTTTGAGTGTCAGGTCAGTGCTCAAAAAGTTTTGGATTTTGGACAGTTTTAGATTTCAGATTTTTGGGTTAGGTATGCTAAACCTGTATGTTACTCTATTAGAGCAATTTGATGGCACATATCAATTCTAGACTTGGATATAGTACTTTCTAAAATTAAGAAGACTGGGTAATATCTAGGTAAATGCAATATAATTATAAATATAGTTAAGCTAGAAGAGGAGAGAACTTTCATTGCCAGCCAAATAGACGGCTGTGTAATACTATCTCTTTCCTTCTCCATATAAATGTATCAAGTAACTAAAGCTTATACTTCAAATATTCTTTAGAATCTCTGCCAGAAATAAACAATAAGATAACACAAAAACTGTTATTAAAGTTTTGGGTTTTTATCCTTATTTTTGTGCCACCATTTTTCATCCTTTTATATACAAACATATAAACATTACAGGAAAAATACATTTTCCATTTTTAAAAGGTAAGAACAATTGAATACTGTATATAGTCTGTATGTAGTCTTTGAATATGGTTTATTGTTATTCCTATTTGTGAAATACTAATTTTCCAATTTAGTAAATGGGGTGGATAACTGGTCAAAAATATTGAAATAATGACTTCTGTCAATCTGGTTATCTATATAGTCTTTACATACTATATCAGATTTCATGGCAAAAAGGCTGCATACTGACTACAGCTATATCATAATCTTTTAACTCAACAATGCCTAAATGTTTCCTAATAAAAACACCTCTTTGAAAGGCAACTGAAAAACCATAGAACTTCTACATGAATTTATTCTCTCATTCTATAATTCAAGGTTCAATTCTTTACTCAATAATTCCAGAAATCAATTTTGTCCTGAAAATATTCCTTTTCTCAGACAGATAAATGCAACCGTCCAGGAAGTTCTGCAATAGACACAAATACATGTGAGAATTTAATACTGCATATGAGAGTAATATTTCAAATTTCTGGGGAAAGAATCAAATTTTCAATAAATGGTACTGGGAAAACTACCTATCTGACAAAATAAATAAAGTTCTGTATCAGCCTGATTCCTTACACTGTTTCACTTTAATTTGATTTAAATAGACACATGGTAAGTGGCCACTGTACTGGATATAGTAGTTCTAGCACATTCATTCTGAAAGTGTGATCTATGGACCAGCAGCATCAGTATCTGCTGGAAACTCATCAGAAATGCAAATTCTCTGGCCGGCCCGTGGCGCACTCGGGAGGCAGCGGCGCTCCTGCCGCGGGTTCGGATCCTATATAGGGATGGCCGGTGCGCTCACTGGCTGAGTGCAGGGCGGGCGCAATCCCCTCCCCGTCACAAAAAAGACCAAAAGAAAAAAAAAAAAGAAATGCAAATTCTCTGGCCGGCCCGTGGCGCACTCGGGAGGCAGCGGCGCTCCTGCCGCGGGTTCGGATCCTATATAGGGATGGCCGGTGCGCTCACTGGCTGAGTGCAGTGCGGGCGCAATCCCCTCACCGTCACAAAAAAGACCAAAAGAAAAAAAAAAAAGAAATGCAAATTCTCAAGCCTCCCCCACACCAGACCACTGAATCAGAAACTCTGGGGGTGATGCCCAGCAATCTATGTTTTGACAGGCACTCCAGCCTATTCTGATGCATGCTGCAGTTTGCAAAAACACTGATCCAGAAGGAAGAGACTAAAGAAACAAGTAAATATACAGAATACCAAATAATGAAAAATGCTATTATTAAAAATAAGAGAAGAGGTTAGGGAATGTAGACTGAAAAAATAACTTTAGAATAGAGACCTGAAGGGAATGGGATATCTGGGGAAAGCACATTCCTGGTGGAGATGACAAATGCAAAGGCCCTGAGGCAGGAGTATGCCCTACCTGTTTATAGAAAAACCAATTTGCCAGGGTGAAAACAGCAGGCATGAAATCAGAATGATAATCTTGTAGTGTTGTGCTTAAAGGCCTTTCAGGTGAAGACTTGAGATTTTACTAAGTGAAATAGTCACTGAAGAGTTCTGAGGAGGAATATGATCTCCTTTACATTTTAAAAGGACTACATTCTGACTGTTGTATTCAGACTAGCCTGAGGGAATGGGTCCTAGGCTACTATAAAAATTTAGGTGGGAGACAATGGTAGCTTAGACTAGTCAGATTCCAGATGTATTTTGTCTAGTAAGATTAAAGCCAGTGGAGGAAGAAGACATAAGAGACAGAAAGAGGAGTAGCAGTGGAAAAGTGGCAGGGTTGCTGAAAGGACGTAACAGCAGGCATAAAATGCAAATTTAAATGGTTTGCTATGTGATATGCTTACCCCCTGGTGACTCTCAAACTATCACTAAGATCCTAGTAGCTTCGAGGAGTTAAATCAAGAAAAGAAAAGAAATTTCAGAAGGCAGTGATGGATCTTGGACATGACCAGCGCCATTGTGCACACAATAAGCACAAAATAGCCACTGGTCTTGTCTTCCACTCCAGCACCAAACCCCTCCCCCCTTCCCTTTACAAGAAGCCTTGTGACTTAAACAGAAACCTTTTGCTTCTGCAAGGGTGCAATTCTCCACCCTGGTTGAATAGCTTCCACATTAGCATAATGCCCCCTCCTTGATTTTATCAGCTGGCCTTTGGCACCCTATATAAGCTCTACCACCCCCATACCTGGTGCTGTCCCCCATTTTGAGAGCAGCCCCAGGCCGCCTGTCACTTTGAGCACAGCCCAGCAGATCC